TTCCAACGGCAAAGAACTTTACTTTGATTGGACTCGTTTCGTTTCGTTTGAGTGTCTCAAAACTGCCAAATGTTTTTGTTCATTGCATTGACCACAGTTTGAGTCCAAACGCGCCATCTCATAAGAGAAAAGGATGATCGTGTTTGTTTAGAGAGGGAGGAGCAGGATTTGAAGGAGGATAGGAGGAAGTTACTGAGCTTCATACTCTTCCCCCCTTCTCAACTTCGCTAGCTCGCACCACAGGTTTACATCAAAATCAAGGGAAGGAGTGCCAGAGAGGTTGATTGTCACAAGTTAAACCTGACCCTGTCCACTACTTTAGAATTCTGCAGAAATTGTTTGAACAATTTTAGATTCTCTATTCGAGCATTCTATTAATTGGTATAATATTTCTTGCTATGATAACTCAGATCTTGCTAGTGCTCCTAAATTTTCTATTTCTCTCAAATATATCTCTACTTAGAAATAAGTTCAATAACGAACTAACTTGAGACAAAATGCAGAAGCATATAGACATAAAGCCTTGTGAAATTGAAGCGAACATAATCATTCGATATTTTTCAGGTATAAATGTGGCTAAGTCGAAAAGTGGTCCAGCCACGAATTTCAACACTAAACATAGCGCATAAGGTAGTGCCGTAACGAATCCCGTCTCCGTAACATCAAAGTTGAGCGCCTGAAATTTATTTGTTATACTTTTTTCTGAGCGCTGTAGTGGACTAACTTACCATATTCATGAAAGTTGGGCCAAATTGTAGGAAGATGAAGAAGGCAGTGTTCCCACTAAATGTTGTTAGTAACACTGCTTGCATACAGTGGTCCTTAAGTATTGCCTTGTATGGTACTGGTTCCTTCGTAGAGGGTACGTCATCTTTACCAAGCGTGATTGTTGAAAGTTCTTTAGAGCTGACCATTCTTAAAAATTGAATTCTCATTCGCTTCAGATGATGTAGAGCCAGCTAATAACCTGTGCTTTCGTGGATCATCTTTATAGAAAATAAAGAACATCAAAGACAAAAGCAGTCCAATTGCTCCGAAAGTATAGTATAGATATCTCCAACCCAATGAAGATTCACAGAAAGCGCCAGCGACTGGCAGAGTTAGTACAGATGAGAGCTAAATAAACAATACTACTTGATTTCATTATTTATCGAACAAAATCCAAGCAAGCTTATAGATTTGTGCAAAACCTGTTTTTTTTACTAAATAAGTTCCAAAAGGATTGCTATCATCTGAGAATATTCCCTACCACCTTCCCTCCATCCCACTTCCCCTTCCCATTCGCCATATTTTGTTATGTGACACATTGTTTACGATTGCAAGATATCCGCTATTGCAAATCAATTCAGGAATACGGTATGACTGTTGTAGTTGGTTAAAACCAGAAACCACTAACATAAACATTCTGCGGATTATTAGACCATCTTCTGGAAGTACAGTAACTCAAAGGTACAATTTCGCCGACTGGACAAACACGAAGAAACTAATAAGATCTAAATTATTGTCTTTTCCGAAATTATGTAAGTGGTAATCCATAAAATACTGGGCAGGTTTATTGATAATCATCCTCTGGACCCCTTCTAGCAAGCATGAAGATATAGCTAGTAATCTTGGCAATAACTCTTTCTGCGAACTGCTAGTTGTCTTGAGAAATTGTGGCCTAGGAGAGTCTTCCCCTAATGCCTGTCATGTAATTTCACAAGCGTCAATGACTAAATTCCTAGATTGGGCTTTGAAAAATGGTTGATCAAAGTCTTCCTCTTTTATCGCAAGTGGACTTCCAACCTCGGAGCAGACTTGCTGACATATTAGTCATATGCTAGGCTGAGACTGGTCTACCGCCTCATCATGACGCGGAGATCATCTGGGTGTCTAACTGCGAAACACAGCAGAATTTATTCTCCAGCAGGGTCTCTTAAGCTGAGCAGGAGTTCGCCGTTTCCGGCTCCCCGGATGCCCAGCTAAGAGTAGTGCCAGAAGCCCCATTTTCTGGCTGATTCAGTGGCTAGGTGGTTCCTGATTCAATAGCGATTGCCTGTGGTGAAATCTTGGGCCCTGGCAAGGCTGTTAAGTTTGGAGAAAAATTCTATAGTCTGTACAGCATGTAAGAAGAAGAAGCCCTACGCATTGAATAACATCTCCGGCGACGGATGTCATCAAGACCAGTGTCAGATTGCACAGGACGC